AAAATAATCAACGCAATGTTTACAGCAAACATAATCATGATTTTATTGGAATACTGCTGACACATATGATGATACATCAATTAGCTAAACCGAGGGTTTATATGCGCTTTTTATATGTTTTTCAATGCACGATCTCCCTCTTTCACGAGGTCCCTCGGTAAGTCGCGGCCCTCGATAAGTCGCGGTTTTTGCTTGGATCCCGACACCCGCGACTTAGCGAGGGGCCACTGTATTTACCTGTCATTCATTGCTGGTAAATATATACATTAACAGTTACTGAGTTTGTCACTACTGACAGTCCGATCCGACAGACCTAGACTCACTGAACGACCGCTGACATATCACTGAAAGCTAAAAAAGGCACGAGACATTTTTCTTGCTGGCCATTTCCTTAGCTTTTCAACGACATTTCGGCGATCATATATCTATTTGTTTCGAATATCAGAATATTAATACCAACATACCTATTATAATACAAAACTTACACAATCTGACAGAATGTTTAGACATTTTACTGATATTCAAGTTAATCATTTATAAAGTATTTCTTTCATGGTGTTATTCAAGTCTTTACGCCATTCCATTGCCTTTTAATTTGCTCACAAATTTACAATAGATATCGGCAACATTTTTACTGGTTTAGTAAATTTTAGTATACAAAGTTGAACGTTTATAAGAAACATTGTTCGTTAGAAAAAGATGGTGCTCAAGCGGGCCCAGTGTAAAAAACACATTTTAATGGAGATTTGATAATATATAAAACCAGTTTATGAAAAGGTGACACATGCTTTTGTATTTTGTTTATTTTGATTCACTATGCTTAAACTTTTTATCTTGAATCATCGATCATTCTTTTCCAAATAAGTATTCCATGCACATCTAAAATGTGCTTGCGTATTGTGTTCGTATACATCATAGTATATATATAACTATTATGCAACAAATACTATGATAGGTCACAGGTCATATATTTGTTGAGCAATTAATGTATTCTATGCCAGTAAATTTTCGGTGCACAGATAAAAAAGAAAACACAAATGGGATGGATGAAGCAACCAGAATAGGTAATTGCGGACATGTTATTTCACAGATTATGGTACATGGGTCGACAGATTATTGGCCTAACCATTATTATATACCACGCTTTTTGAACTAATTTCTACTAGGTTACGTAACGATGTCATATGGCCTTTGACATCTGTAGATATTTCTTGTCACACTGTATTAAAGCGATATACGATACGTTACATTGTAAATCATGTGTTACCGTTTGAGTCTTGTAAGTTTACAAGTAGCTTTCGCGTTCGGGTTCTTCAGCACAATTTAAACAATAATTCCCCGGCATTATAGGTTAAAGTCTAAACGAAATCCTCTTAATTTAAATTTAATAAAAAATAAAGGAATGATTTGGAATATACTTCATAAGCTTCACCAATCTTGAACACAGTTTGTGTATCGTTAAGTGTACATTCTTCCAGTAATTGCCTGCTTGCATCTTTTTTTGTACTTGGTGTACAGTCTTCACGAATTGAGAAGTTCGTTATCGATTTGTAATGACTTTATTTCAAACTTATCAACACAGTCATGAATATGGAATACCCCATATGTGTCTCACTTCCCCATGGTACTATATGTTTGAATACGTCAGCCAATTGTAGGCACGCTCGATATGGGTTCGTTACAAATAATTTTTATTTATTTGCGAACCAAACAAGCTCCACGTTGTAGTGTCGCGATTAAACATAAATACGACATAGTTACTGAGTTTTGTTCAAAGCCTACTTGATACAGTTGATAAGGATGGATTGATTGTTACCATGATAACTGTAGCATGTGCTGCATAAAACGATGCAACAAGGTGATGCATTAGTTACATAAAGTGTAACTACTCACATTCACACCGGTCATTTTCTACGCTCACGACACCATGTCATATTCCGGATATGATATATGTTCCAGTATAATCTATATCGCTGTGATTGTAGGTGGGACATTTGGTAATGATCTTGTGTGTTATATTGTGTATACAAATAGGAATCTACGGACTTCTCCAAATTTTCACCTGATATCATTGGCCGTGGCGGATTTAATAGTATGTACAACGACTTCACCCATAAGATTGGTTGTCACTGTGAAACGTCTTGTCACGTCTGTAATATATACCAACGATTTAGAATGTTTCGGGCAGACATTGACGTTTTATTCGTCTATTATTACAACTTTTATTACGCTAGCAACCATAATTTTAACGAGAGCCGTCGGCATCACCAATAGGGTACTTCTCGACACTATGAGGAAAGTGATTTACGTGTTTATTGCTATCAGTTACTGTATAGGTTTTGGTTACGGGATAACAAGAGCAAGCCTTGGTAAAGAAGGTCCATGCGGAGTAACTACAGTCAAACAGCAAGTAAAAATATCAGGAATGATTGGTGTTGTTATTACTTGGGTATCGTTGCTTATAGTTATAATATCAAATTTTTGTATCTGTTACATTACGCAAAGCAACCAAAGAGCACTGAAAAGTGTACTGGGCGACGGCGGACGACATGGGAAATCAACAAACATTGCAACTGTCAAACTGTCACTTCGTCTTGTTGTTTGTTTCATTGTCAGTTACTTACCAGGAGCAATTCAAGGATTTCTCGTATCAAATGAACTTGTAGATAGAACCCCCTATCTTGCCAATCTTTTTGCTGCTATTGCCTGTACAGGAAGCGCTGTGAATCCTCTAATATATACATTGACGTCATCAACATTCAAGAACCACCTTCCATGGAAGAAATCTTAGTTTGGCGATTTCACCCGCAATAGTTTTGCAACGTCTCCCAGATGTTCGTTCGTTCGTTCGCAGAACTGCAATGTATCGATCTGACAAACAAGGAACAAGGGAATTCGAAACAAGTTTAAGAAATCTTACTTAGTTTCAAAGCTTAAAATTTCGCAAGGACAATTGCAACATTATATTTGTTGGCTTTCCTAATAATAAAGAATCGTACACAAACTTTACCTACATTGAGGTACCGGGCGGCTGTGACAAATCTGCAAAAATTACTAATACAGTGTTTTGATGAGAGTGAATCGCATAATATCTTAGCGCTAAGTTTATGTTATTTTTTATCTTCGAAATTGTGTTATCATAATGACATCACGTAGTAAGCGCGTTCGGTTCAAACGGAGTTGCAGTATTAGTTAGAATCAACGACTTGTTTAAAGTAGAGAATAAAAACATATATATTACAGGAATTGTATTTATAGATTGTATTATATACAGTAGTGGAAACCTCGCAATGATTTAACCGTGAGACTGATGCCCGGTAATCACATGGTCATGCCAACGGCTGCAGCGAATGGCTGACCGCACGTTTACTCTGCCATGTCTAAGTGTTTTATTGTAGTGTGTGTAAGTTAATGTAACATAAGAATGAGGGGAGAGAGACAGCAAGGCGTTATCTCAGCTGACTATTTGGATGAATACAGCTGGACAATCTGTAATGAACTAATGTGTATTTCTATGGCACGATTCCGATATATGTAAATGTATAAAGGTTATCTGTACCGTGACACTCGCCGGAGTACCCTACTTCGACGTTAGTTCGCGGCACTTTGAAGGAATGTACACAATATTGAAGTATTGTGGATATTTGTGTAATTATGCGCTAATATGGACAATGTAGATTTAGAATTGTAATTAACAATAACATTTCCAGCCAAATATTCAGGCTGCAAAGTGGACATTCTGCAACGACCCCTGCAACGTTTTTAATACGAAATTAACTTTAGCAGTTTGTTAAACAGCTCTGTTTGTCGCAAACGAGAACATTTTTGTTTGTTTATGGATACTTTGCTTTTTGAGTTGACATCAGTCTTTTAAATTAATGCATACACCAGTGAAGAGTTACAACAACGATGATATACAAATACATTAGACAAGTTAAAAAAAGTATCAGTTACGTCGTGCATCTGAGCGTAGTATTGTATATTTGCTTTAGTGAATCTGTACTAGGTTTCAATGCATTTGTGATAGGCTACATAAATTGGCCATAATACTAAAAATAGAAACGAAACTTCTGCCTGTGCGTTGATGACGTCATACAGACGTCATTAATACGCTATACAGCAACAACAAACCGCAATATTAACATTTTAGAAAATAATAATTCGTATTAAAGATTTCTTTATGTAGTCCGATGGCTGGATTTAAACATAAAATGTATTATTTGTTGGTATTAAAGATGACATCGAGTGTTTGATTTTAAATTTTACAACAATTAATGTTAAACTTCTCTAATTATTCAATTATAGATATTGCTTAATAGTAAATTGATATAGTCTTTAATTACCAGTTAATTGTATTTAATATGTAATGTTAAATTGCAATGTTGTATATCTTTTATTTAATTAGCCCAGTTTTATGTTTTAACGAGTGGCATATAATGTAGGTGTAATTTATCGGTTTATTTACCTCTGTGTCGTGTATTGGAGAATGTTATAATAAAATCGCATTTCTGCAAATTTTATGTGGATAGATTTGTTGGTAATGGTCAAGTGTGTTCATATATTGAGTGTACATCTATAAATCTACGAGTTCCATCCAATATTCAGCTGGTATTCTTGAGCACGCACGAGGCTCACGTGCAGCACCTGCCCTTATATCTGTACTCACCACAGACAGAGTTACCGAATGTTTATTGAGACCGCCACGCTACCGTTGGGAATATACGATTAGAAAAAGGTTTAATATATCTGCGTATATATTCAGATTTGCGTTGTCTTATTGATGAGGTCTAAGGCAGAAAAACAGGAATATATTTAGAATATAGGTACACATACCCGATGAAACCTTTTCGGATTTATACACTACTATATTTGCTAGCACAAAAATAAAAAAAGACGACTTATGGATATGTTGATACTAGATATAGGCATACAGATCGTGGAGCTCTGTCAGTATATTGGTCTGTAAGGTAATCCAATTTGTATATTTGTAAGAGAAAACCCTATCGCGTACCTCACTCCCCAAACCCCATGTGGAAAGGGAATGCCCCGCATAAAAAGGTGTTAGATGTTGTATGATATTCTTACACATAATACGTATATATATATATATACATGTGCGATCTAATTAATAACAGAACTAAAGCTTCTAAATTAAATTAAATTACATTACAACATACTTTTTAATTACGATTTATGCATCCTCAGAAATCTTGATATACACAATCTATACACTCACTTCCGTTATATCGTAAGAATTACGTTTTTGAACAGTATATTCTAAGGAGTAAAACAAACCACGGAGATTGAACTAACTCTGTACCACAACGACAAATACGTTTCAAGTGCTTTACTGAATAATAAAAAAATAGTAGGGTTGCGGGTTATAGTCCAATTGACAGAGTGGTTAAACTTTCCTCGCTCAACTTGAGTTGTCTTTTTGCCTTCCTTTACTATGGTATTTCCTTGCCCCTGTTTTGTTTGTGACTAATCTGGCTCCAAAACACAAACCTCAGTCTCGAAATGGTTGTTAATCACAATCAGATCTTCCAGGATTATTTACAGTTAAACGATTTGCTGGGCATAGGCACCGCACATTATTCAAATATATATAGTTATATATATCGTTAATTGCCATCCAAGTACTTGGCAGAAACTAGTCTCAGTGATCTAGCTTCTCTTGCGGTCGCATATATACAACTTCAGTGTACTGTACACCTCTTGTGCATCTACCCTGCCGTAGGTGGCGTTTGTCAGTGACGGATATGTGCTTCAATTGTCGATGTTCTCGATTCAAGTTTTTAAGTTAGGAGGGGAGACATGTGACTTGACGATTTAGAGCGTTACACTAACGTTTATGCATGAATACTTTTCAAAAACGTAATTAGTTATAAGCGCCAATGGAAACCAATTAAAGGGGCATAAGTCGACATTATCAATGCAACCACTAACAACGGGACGTACGCAACAGTTGAAAATTACGTAGAACCTTACATCAATATACAGTGACACTTTATGCGAAGTTTAAAAATATCAAATTTCTTTGCATTGCAAATTTTTAAAAACGTTCTCAACATTTCAGTTCGCCTTTCAGTTGAGAGGAATATCGAATATATAGAGGAATATATATTACAATTCGTATTGGTAAAATATTTATTTGTATTTGTAGAACAACTTGCTAATCCGACTTATGACGTTGATGGCGCTGCACAAGAATGGTTGGAGAGGGACACACTCACTGTGGATATCTTCCTTCCCTCTTTCTCAATCCATCCATCAATTACTCCCTCCTTCAAATACAGATCCCGATGCCTAGTTTGTCATAGTATTAATATTGGCATATTAGTGAACAGGTAGAATGCACAGTGGACAATGACATTTCATCTCAGAACTGTCAGGATTTAATTAATTAAATAACTTAAAAGTAAAATTAAAAGTACTTGCGGCCGGTCGCTCTGGTGTTAACTAAACAAATAATTCTGTATTGTATGTGTGTACACTTGACCTATCTCTGTTTTATATCGCAATCCCTTGTTTCTTTTATATTTACGTGATCGCTTGTCAAAATGTGACGTAACAGTTCTATTCCACGGAAGATGATGATGTATGTATGCCGCCCTCAATATCGGTCATTTTTTATTCATGGTGCATAATGAAATATAGTCTCAATGGTTGTGGATGCGCCATCAAAGTCTGTTTTCTTTAACCTGTCATAATCGAACAATATATGATTCAGCTTATATTAAATAAAAATGTGCCATATTTAAGTAATGTGTTAATATTAGTAAATTGTCTAGGTTTATATTCTATTGGATTTTGACACTTTCCTGGCAGTTGGATCTGCTCCGCACATACATATTGCAGACCAAGACGATTGCCCCATTATAGAGCTGTTTTGTGCTTCCGCTTGAAAATTATTTTCTTCGATGCACTATATACTCGTAACTTGATATGGTACATTGTTCTTCTATTGTCATCTTATTCAGTCTGTATTTTGTAATACATATTGAATGATGTCCTTGAAAGCGCATTTATTTTTTAACAGTTGACACACACACAATGAAAACATTCAATAAGCGATGAGAAAATCCGAAAATATTAGTATGGTAAATTATCATAATTTTACCAGTGTTTTGAAAAATGATATATGTAAAACATAAGTCCGAAGTCGTTACAAGTTAAGTGTTCTAGAAACTACGGGGTTGGTAGTTCATCTACATATATAGTTGTTTGAATAATTACTGAAAATTTACTGATTATCTGTAAACAGTGATTGTTTAATACAGAAAAAAAGAGAGAGAAAATGCAATTTGTTGAAACGCAGAACAGTTATCATGTTCTTTTCGCTATTTACTGAGTGTACACATAATGATCGTGGAGTACTATTTCACCACAAAAGTGTCCAATCCAATCACTTTAAATAAACCTAGAGTAGTTTTCCCAACACACATATTATCATATGCAATAAAACGTTGAATAACTAAATTAGTCATATTGATAGTATTTTATTAACAGCCCGTTTATCAAGTGTATGGTAACGTACATTTCACTCAATATCTTCACAGTTTTGATACATATTGGATAAATAGTTATCAATAACGGCGTACATGAGAGTCGAAGGTATATTAACATGTCGCCACCGACGAAGTACGATTGCGCCCCCCACCCTTCACGATTGCGTTCGCGTTTCTGTTCTGTATAAAGAAGAAATTCCGCTAACGGACTATAAAATAGACGGGGTACAGCACAGCGCATTCCATTTTTGGACACATTGCATGTCATACTTCTCTTACG